ATAAAAAAAAATAAAAAATAAAAAATAAAAAAAAAAGAGTAAAGTGCTAAGATAAAGAAAAAAAAACTTGAAAGCTTCTGGTTATTTTACATGTTTTTTGATGTTTTAATTGCAGTGATAAAAATATTAACTTTTGTGTTTTTGTCCATTACAGGATTCTGCTCTAATACTTGATGTCCCTCTGGGTGTGATCTCAAGAATTGAAAAAATGGGAGGCGCGACAAGTAGAGGAGAAAATTCCTATGGTCTAGATATTACTTGTAAAGTAAGAGATTCAGTACTTTCTTACACAAAGAAAAAGGCACAGTAGTGTTGAATAATAGAAAGTTAACGTGGGCTTAAAACAATCAAAAGCTCTTGCACAGAGCCAGGTTCAACTCCCGGTACCAAAAAAAAAAAAAACAATCTGTATATCCGAGATCCTAGAAATGGTTCTCCTTTTATGCTTTGAGATTTCCCAGAGCTTTGCGATTTCCAAAAGATCTCTCCAAAGGGAAAGAGTTCCCATCCAAGAGAGTTGCTGCACAAGAGGCCTTGAGGAACTGGTCAGCTTATTGGCTTGACTGAGTAGAAGGAAAACGTTATTAATAACATTTCTCAAACCTTTTTAGTTCTTGATCCAGTCTGCTCTGGGTGACTCTTCATGTCATGTGTCAACAACCACACACCTTCACACCGTGGAAGAAATAGACTGCCTTCTGTGAGCAGGATATGTCTTTATCTTTAACAACCTTTGAGCTTTGCCGAGTTTTTAGAGGTAGTGATCTAATATTTTATTTGGAGATGATGATCAGGAGAAATTGGTGATTAAATATAATCAGTCCTGTTAGTAGCCATTGTTTGAATATCTGTGTCCATTCAAACACATGCAAGCACTTTGCATCCCCCCCCAGCATGACCTTCCAAGATGGTCGTATTGTAGATGGGGAGCCTGAGGCTCAGAAGGGTCGTGTTCCTAAGTTCACCCTACAAACAGCAGAGCCAGATTCCACATCCAGCAAGATAAACTAGAGTCCGTCTCCTGGCAAGGAAACCTGCTTTCCGGACATTGGGTTTCAGGAAACAACTTTCTGTAGCATCATGCCCACATCTAGAACGAGCTGCAAGGGATTTGGAGATCATCTGTCGTCCTAGTTCTCCAGAACAGATAACTATCAACACAATCTGGAGAGCTCTTTAAAGATGTAGATCTCTGAGATCCCCAGAGAGATCATCTCTGGAGGCTGGAGCACAGAAGGGTGGGACGCTTCCAAGTGTCTTGGGTGACAGTGAATCGTTACTCCAATGCAGGAGCCGCCAAACCTTTTTGTTTTTTGGTTTTTGGGTATGGGGATTGAACTCAGGACCTTGCACTTGTGAGGCAGGCGGTGGCACCACTGAGCTAAATCCCTGGCCCTTGCCTAGCCTTTTCATGAAGGACCCTAATAGATATTTTAGGTTGGAAGAGCCATGTAAGATTTGTGTCATGTGTTTGTGGTTTTTTTATTTTTTATTTTTTTTTTGGAATTTTGGGTTGTCCTCCCTTTTAAAATGTAAATTAATGTTCTTGGCTCAAGAGCCATACAAAAAGTGACCTGAACTGAAGTTTGCTGACCCCCTGGCCAGTCCAGGTCCATCTATGGATGGGGACGTGAAGTCTTTGCTAAATTACATGCCTTGCCTAGGGCTGCCCAAGGAGCCAGGGAAGAGCCAGAGCCAGAAACTTGTCCTAGTCTTGTGGACTGTGATTTCCAAGAAGCAGCCCCTCCACTGTGTCTGTATTATGAATCCAGTGAAGTATTTTTTTTTCTCCAGTTTATAAATGATCAAGAAACTACCTGAAACCAACAGCTTATGTTATTATTAAACTTGGTCTAAAATTCCCCACTATAGCCCACCTCAGCTTTTTGTTTTTGTTTTGATCTAAGCTACCTTCACACCTTATCTATTATCCGAGCTGCTGCCTACACTTTCGGCCTCAAAGTGTGGCTATTTACGATGCTGGAAGTGTTCTGCATTTCACATAAACACATTCATGGGAGTAATGTTAAAAGTCCGCAAGGGAATGTAGTTGATATTTTAGTGATTTTGAAGTGACGTTAATTCTAATGAGGCTTTTTAAAAATATCCCATTTGCTGCCTTATCAACAGGAAAACTTGTACTTAAATTTTAATCCCCCAAAATGAATAAGACAAAGCATGTTCTCACCTTTTGACTCTTAGAAGAAAAGGCTTGGCAACTACTCCCCAGGCCTAATTCTTAAGTATTACATACGCGTATTTCTTAGAAATAGCCTGTGTCCAAAGACGATGGCCTAGAATAGTGTAGCACAACTTTAAACTACATGATCTCCCTGGAAACACGGAAGTCATCAGATTCGCTCTCCGTTTTCTCAGTCACAGAGTTGGGTCGATGGAGTGGCTAAGGCTTGGACCCTGTCCGTCTGGCCTCTGGCCGTAGTGCAGGCAGCCCCAACACCCCCGCAAGTGTGGCCCCCGGCCAGCATGCCAAGGTTTCTGCTTGCTAGGAGTAGTGCCCGCAGATGCAGAGCAGTTCCAGAGGACGTGTCCAGCAGCAGGGGAGATATTTTCCCCGAATGTGGGGTTGTTCCTGTGCAGGCCCTGTACCAGCCCCTGCTGACCATTTGGAGTCCTCAGAAAGCACCAAATCCACACTGCCACAAGCCTTCTGTCTCTCCCCTTACTTGGTGTCGAGACAGTGGCCTACTTTGAAGTGAGCAGTGTTTTCCCCTGTAGAAATGTCGCATAGAAAGGGGCCTGGGGAAGTCGGACCGCATGGCACCCAGAGCCTTTGGTAACAGGATCAGGGGACTCACCCCAAAAGGGTGCTTCCCACACACCCTTCCCTGGCTATTCAGGTGTGTGCAAACCAGATGGAACACGCTTGTTGATGCGTGCTCCATTTCTGTCCCATACTTGGTGATCTGCTGCCTGTGAGTCATTTGCCTTTTTCACTGAAATTTTCCCCTTGGCAAGAAATAATTTTGTCTTTAATTGCATCTGAATCCAATAGCAAAAACAAGTTGCTCAAATTACGCGTTCCTTAGCAGATGAAAAACTTGTTGGAATGCCTGATAGATAAGCATAACTATTTGATGTAAAGATGGTCTCATTTCTGGCCAGGTGTTTAAGAGAAGGATGTTAGAGTTATCATTGACCTGCGGCTGTTAGGAAGAAAGTTTCTCCCGGGTGCTTGAGCCCAAAGGGTCTGTAGCCATCCCGTGTTGTGCCTGCAGTGGGTTGTAAACACTTTGGACATGTCCCATCCCATCAAAATGATTTTCTCCTGAGCTCACCACTGCCATGCATCATGAACCAATGCCTAGCATCGCTGACTTTCTTGTAGGGGGGGCCTCTCTCTATAGGCTTATGTGGTTGTTGGATTTAATTTAGCTACATGTTTTAAAAATGAAAGGATGGACTGGGGACGTGGCTTGGTAATAGAGCACTTACCTAACATGTGCAAAGCGCTGGGATCCATCCCCAGCACTGAAAAACAGTACAAAAAAAGAAAGAAAGAAATGAGAGCAGCAGGATCAGGAGTGTGATTCGGTGGCAGAGGCCCTGGCTTCCAGACCCAGTGGGGAGGACCTGTAAAGAGAAGACCCCATCTCAGGGCTGCCATCAGAGGTCAGGCGTCTACTTCATACTCCATTTGCCCCCTGCGATGTCTTAAGTGGCAAAGCCTTTGCTGGTCCTTTTGGACCAGAGACGAAGCTTTCCGAGTACTCTGGAGGTAAAAAGTGAGGAAGCACTTTGGACAGTAAGAAGATCGTGATGCCCAAGAGGGCACGGATTGGATCTACTCGCTCTTGTGGTGGCCTCAGGGTCCCGCAGAGTCCTCATTTCTCTGAAAGGAGAATTGAAAATGTGTTGTCAAGTCGAACAGACTTTTAGTGCTTAGCTACCACTCAGTCGCAGCACCATGTTTGATTGTTTGAAAGAGATAACCCCCAAAAATGTAGCATTGAAAATAAGCTAGAACATATTTTTATATATAATTGACATTTAAAGGAACTTTATATTCAATTTAGAGAGATGTGTATTGGAAGATGCCTTTAAGAGCTGATTTTGATCATTAATGTGTAACTCCTGAAAATAAAGTTCCTACTACTCTGGGGTACTTTCATGTGGCTTATTTTGAGCCTTGTGAAAGAAAAATTATATAGTAAAATTATATTACTTGTGTTACTTGGATAAGAGTTTAAAATGCCATTTAGGGAGAGGACTTTTGCATTTTAATGATCTTTGAGAATGTTGACATCATATCTGATGGCAAGGTACTCTTGAGAAGCTGTATGAATAAAATACTATTTGATAATTTTTAAATATTGTGGAAACTGACCATAGACACAGATGGGCAGGCACAGTTTGATTTCTTTCTTTTTATAAAATGATATGTAGCCTTGTCTTGCCTTTTGTTTTGTTTTGTTTTTGTTTTTGCTTTGGTTTTTGAGACAGGCTCTTGCTATTAGTCCAGGCTGGCTTTGAACTCACTATTTAGCCCAGGCTAGCCATGAGCTCACAGCAACCTTCCTGCCTCAGCCTCCTGAGCGCTGGGATTGCAGGCATGCGCCACCACGCTCAGCTCTGGCACTGGTTGGCCAGTCTTATCTTTATCTTCATGGATACAATAGGAATATTTTCAGGTGCTCCTAAAGTGGATATTTTAAAAGGCCATATATGACAAAGTAATTTTCTTAGTTGTCTAGATTAATTGCCCTTTTAGGTAAGTGACTCTTCTGCCTTAATTGAATAGCAGTTTTGGGTGTTTTTTTTTGGTTTTTTTTTGTTTTTTTTGTTTTTTTTTGGTTTTTTTTTGCTAATTAATGTGACTTTATTTGTAGACTGAACTGTCCCATTTCTCCTCTGCCCCCAGGACATGAGAAACCTGAGGTTCGCACTGAAGCAGGAAGGCCACAGTAGGAGAGACATGTTCGAGATCCTCACGCGCTACGCCTTTCCTCTGGCCCACAGTCTGGTAAATTGCAGGGCACTTCCATTCAGTCTTTGTGCTCCCTCACGTTGTGGACACAGGGCGTGTATTAAGTCTGAGTTCACCACTCCCAGAGGGAAGTGACAGGTGGGGCACGCCAGGTGACTGATTCTCAGTGTCGGAGTCCCTCACGAACCTGGGAGTGTCCCTGGGGCACAGTTCAGGGGACAGGGAGAGGATGAGGTCACCTCCTGGAGTTCGTTGCTCTTCACTCTGGCGCTAGCCAGTGAGCAATGCAGCTCAGGCTTATGTGGCTCTAGATATTGATGGGAACAGATCCTCTGATCACGCCCGGGCACTTCTGAAATACAGGTGTGTTGTATGGCTTCCACAGCCAGCAGCTAGGTAGGTTAGGTTTCTTCTGGAAAACAACAGCACTGTGGGACTGGGGATGTAGCTCCCCAGTGGTAGAGCACTTGCCCAGCATGCACAAGGCCTTTGGTTCAGTATCCAGTACCAGGGCTGAAAAAAGAATGGTATTTCAAATGTTATCCGATAGCATTTCATATAGATTTATAGGAGGTATTTGTTATGCGTTTAATTAGTCATGCGCTGTGACTTACTCCAGAAGGTAATCCAGTAGCATGTGTGTCTAAAAATTTTCCTCCCTCTTCACCAAACCATCCGAGTGAGCTTCCTTTGGCCACATGGCTGAGCTAACCCTTCCGTGAGTCTTGCTCTTCTGTCTTTCTGTATAGTCTGCCTCGGCCTTGACTTCCTTTTTTCTGTCATGCCTTGCTTGCATCTTTTTACCCCCTCCTGCCTCTCTGGTTGACCCTAAATAAACTTGGAGGTGAATGCCTGCTAAGGAGAGAGCACAGAAAACATTCTTTCCAAAGCATACAGCCACCTTGGTTTCAGTAGAGGATAACTGCATTGCAAGCTAAACTGGAGGGAGTGCATAGGGGTGAAGACCTTCTCTGTGTGGCCACTCTCTTCCTGCAGCTGTCTGATAATATGTCCGGGGGTCTGCTGGGTTTTGTTTCTTGAGATAAAGGTCTGAGATTTTTCTCTGGTGAGACACGGCTCCTGTCTCCAGATTTCACCAGCAGTTGTTTCTGCCACAGGAAGGTCAAGGTTGGCAGAAAGGAGTTTTTCGCAGCAGCTGTGGAGATTAGGAGGGTATGAGGTACTCATCGTGAGTCTTGTGTTGGTCACAGATAGAAATGTGATGCTTCAATAGAAATCCACCAATATTATATCTTTGAATCCATGTCCAGCCTTTTCTAGGTTTCTGATTAGACACATGATCCAAATGGTAGTTCTATATTAAACATTTTTAAACTTTATTAGAATACAAAGAGTTTTATGAGAACACATCTTCTAAATTATTGTAAAAGCAAGAATGAAATTTAGAAAAAGCAGTCTCTGTTGCTTTATGCATATCTGGCCCTGCGTCAGCAGAAATTAAAGAATGGCTTCCAGAGCGCGTTGCCTGCAGGACCATGCACCATCAGTGTTATATTTGTAGCTGGATGTCCCCTCAAAGCCTCATATACTCACAGGTGGGCTTTTGGGAGCTGGCCAGATCTAGGGTGTGTGACACTGGGGTTAAGGGTGTGCGGTACCAAATGAGCCCCACTGAACTAAATTAGCGTAGCTCTGGGTGGGGCTGAGTGGATTTACTGAAGACAGAAGTCCCACCCCCGGTGTGGGTGGCCCAGCCCAAAAGGTTTGTAGCCTGGAATAAAAGGGAAAGGCAGGCTTTCTGCCTGCTTTGCTATGGGCTATTTCACCCCTCTGATGCCGCTCTGCTGTGCCACCTTGCCTTGGAGCCAGCCGACTGTGGACTGAAACCTCCACACATTGTGTCAAGAGTTAGGCTAGCTTTCCTCTCAAGCTGATATTCCTTCTCTCACTTGAGAGGCAATCTTCTGGGAAGAGCATTCTATCCTAGCCTCATCTCCAGTTCGTTTTTCCAGCCCACTCCAGTATCCAGCTTCATTGCTGGAACCTGCTTGGAGCTCACGACTAAATCTGGTAGCTCATTTCCATCTTCATTCTGTTTGATCTCTCCCTAGCATCTAACACATTTCACCGCCCTCTTCGAAATCCTGGATTCTGTGTGCCTATACCATTGTAACTATCCCTTACCCGTCTTCTCATCCCTCTACTCTTCTCACCCACTTTGCCTCGATGATTTCATTTATGCCAGTGACTTCAGCTGTTCCTGCTGTGTAGAAAACTTATAAGTCCAGCCCAGCCAATGCCCTTGAGTAAGTCTAACCAGTGTAACCTTCAAACTCCTCCCCCTGGAAAGTCCACGTGAATTTCTGGGTCACTGTACCCTGACCTCTTTGTAATTCACAAGATTTGCTCTCTTTTCTGTGTCCTGCAAGTTTGAGGGCCCCCAGTTATTCAGGTTCCATACTGAAGTCACCGTTTTTATCTTTCCCCTGCCTCGTGTCCCGTAGGCACATCAGTTCCGACTCCTAGAGGATCTACTTCTTAGCAAGCCTCCACTCTTTCTTCCCATTTCCACTTGTGCTTCCCTTCTTCCAGTTTCCTCCCCTTCCAGCTTACTCTATGCAGTGCTGCCACTTGCTTTGTTTCTTTTGTTTTTAATTTAAGTACAGGCATGTCACCCTGCCCCCCAAAAGAAGCCCTGCATGATTCTTCCAGCTTGTACCCTACGCTACAACCATGCACCGCTGCCCCATGGTTCTCTGCCGTTGACAGCACTTTCTGTTTGGCTTTTGCTTTCACCATCACCTGCAACATCCTTGTTGCTCTAATGCCCATCCTGCACACCCTCATCCTTCAGTAACTTGCTGCATCTGAGGTGCTTTTCCAGGCCTGTGAGAGCTCGTCTTACCTCGCTGTTTAGACTTAGCAGGTCCCTCTGTCTTAGTGCTTACCTCAGTTTGCCCTCTGTAATCATCATGTCATAATTGCCTGCTGCCACTAATCCCTCCGGCCCACTGCCCTGGGAGCGTATCAAGACAGGGATTACCCTTTATCTGTTTCCCTAGCTTCAGCATAATGACTTCTGCGCAGGAGGGATTTCATTATTCTTGTTTTGTAGTGCCAGGGATGGGTCATGGGGCTTCATGTGTGTTCGGAAGTACTCTGTCACTCAGCTACACCCCCAGCACCTCTGCAAGAGCTTTATAATGGTGGCTTTTATATTGAACTCAGAAAGTGGTGGAAAAATCATTGTATGGCGAGAAAGGGGCTGAATGCTTCTGGAGATTGTGGATCTAGTTCCAGAGCCTAGAACTCTTATGTTGCTGTCATTAGAGTCACTCATAGAGGACTCGATTTCTCGATGCTGTGGTGCTTGGCTCTTTCTTTTTTTTCATATCTATGCTGGGAATCCCTGCTTCTCGCATTAGAATGTCAATAAAGTGACAAACTAGCGAGAACTATGAATTGAGGTACTCATCCAAAGTTGTAGAAAAGTGCATTTTCTAAGTTTCAACCACTGAAAGTCATCCTTAAAAAATGTTTAAATCAGTCAGTGAAACAACACTCTAAAATGGGGATGAAACCAGGGCAGCTTTTGAACACCAGCCCTGACATGAGAGTCTCCAGGCGTTTCCTAGGTTGAGTTCATTTCAAAGTCAGTGCTGGGCGGTGTCGGGTGGCGGAGTGCAGTTGAGTAGAAGTAGTATAGGATAGATGGTACCTAGTCCCGTCTGAAGATGTGAGCGGCAGGTGAAAGAGACGTGGCAAAGACGTGGACCTAACACAGGAGCACTGCAGACGAAGTCCTGGGAAGGTCACGTGAAGGAGACTGGGAAACCCTTTGTGGAATTGGTAGCTGTTCGTGTTGGGGCTTGAAGGATGGATTATAATTGCCAGAAGGCAAGGAAGGTAGAGGAAGTGGAATTTCAGGCAGAGACAAGGGTGTGTGTGAAGGAGCCGGTGGTGCTGGCTGGAGCTGGGAATAGATTTGGGGCCCTGTGATGAGGGACCAGGCTAGGGTGGGAAGCTTGTGCCTCCAGAAGTAATGGAGACATGCTGAAGGTTTAGAAGTGAGGATCAAAGACGACGCTATGCAGGACAGAGGGGAGAGGAGAGATGCATGGGACGTCCAAGTGCAGACACAGGTAGAAAGGATGAACGACCGGCTGCATAGACCTGGGCAGGAGTTCAGTCTGACAGGACACTGGAGAATGATGGATTCGCCCTGGTTCTCAAGTTCCAGGCTTGAGTCATAAGTGTGGAAGCCAGAAAAGGGGCTCATTTGGGCTCATTGGAAGAGAGAAGGGAGGGACACCTTCTTTCATTACCTTTGTATCCTCAGTGTCTGCTTTGTGTTGAACTTTTGTGAATGCAGGGAAATGCTGTCACTTTACAGAGATTTAAATTGGGAGCAAGTGGTTAAAAAAAGAAAGAGCAAAGTTAGCACCGTGTCCAGGGAAGAAGTTTTCCTCCCTTCGAATCTGAGAAAGGTGGGTGAGTGTATCTGGACAGGGTGGAGGAAGCCTCACCCCTTTCAAGGCAGGAGCAAGAAGAGATCCTTCCTAGAACAGGCTCCTGGAGACGGCAGAGGGGGACGGGGTCAAGCCTCGTTTGTAGGGCAGTTTTGGAAAGGAGAAGGGACAATTATTCCTGTGAGACAGGAGGGAAAGAAAAGTTTCCAAACTGCCACAGTGGGGAATGAGCGAGTGTGCCAGAAAGGGATTTCCTGGAAGCATAATCTAAGCCTGATTGCCTTGAGCAGTACAAAGGGCCCTGCTTGAAGAAAATCTCCCTTAATATTACTGAAACAGTTGCAGCAGCTTCAGATTAGCTTGGGGATTTTTATCAACATCCAAAGTCAGGAGCAGACTTGCTGTTTTGTCCATGAAATGGTGTCTGGGGGCCAGGGAGGCTGGGCTGTGACTCCCACCATGGGGTGAATGGGCTCCGACTACACTTTTGGCTCCTCTCACCTCATACTTATACTAATGCGGAAGTATGAGGTATGGCGAGAAAGGGGATTAATGCTTCTGGATATTGTGGATGTAGTTCCACAGCCTGGAACTCTTGTGTTGCTG